CAGAAAAAAACAAAAAAAAGAGAAAAAAAGAGAAACAAAGAGACAGACGGGAGAGGCAGCGACAAACAAATCCTTACCTCTACTGAACCCCTCCCATTCACTGCAGCACAGAGAAACAGAGACAAAGCAGCTAGCTAGCTAGCTAGCTGCACTACAGCTAGCTGGACACAGCTAGCTAGCTAGGTAGACACAGCTAGCTAGCTGGCTAGCTAGCTAGCTAGATACAGAGAGCTAGCTAGCTAGACACAGCTAGCTAGCTAGGTAGATACAGCTAGCTAGCTAGACACAGCTAGCTAGCTAGCTAGCTATAGCTGGGGTGTTGGCGCTCTTCTATGCGAGTGCTCTTTCGCTTGAAGCTGCAGCAGCAAGTGCTGCTGCTGCTGCAGCAGGTGCTGCTGCTGCTGCAGCAAGTGCTGCTGCTGCTGCTGGTGCAGTTGCTGCTGTGCTGCTGTTGCTGCTGCGCTGCTGCTGGAGTTCAGAGCCCCAACCACAAACCCTAAACCCTAACACTCAAACCCTAAACCCTAACACTCAAACCCTAAACCCTCCCCCTGACTCTATACAAACTGTAAACCCTAAACCCTAAACCCTAAACCCTTTCTACTAATTGTTTAGGCAACACAGCTAATCATATTACTGGGTTTTCCCTCTCCTTAACAAACAGACAAACTACAAACATGCAAACCCTAAACCCTAAACCCTGAGATACGCCAAACCCTAAACCCTAAACCCTAAACCCCTAACCCTTTTTTTTTTTTGAGGGTGTGATAGATTTGTTATCAGCAAATAAATAATTAAATTTATTTTCTTTAAAATAAAAACGTTGCTAGGCAGAGTTATTTGGGGCTTTACGCAACGATGGGAGGTTATTAGGGTTTAGGGTTTAGGGTTTAGGGTTTAGGGTTTATGGATCGGGGCTTCGATACCTCATTGGTTGCTTTTTGCGCAATATAAATATTTTTCTTTGATTGTTTTACAATTTATTTTTAATTAAATTTATAAATTTATTTTTTATAAAGAAAATAATATCCTTAAAATGTTGCATCGTTGGGGTGTATAGGCAGCTCAAAAGATTCCGCTCGTTCTCTGCGGCTGGGTAGCGTCTGCGTTTCGTTTTTTCTTTTTTTTTTTTCTTTTTTATTTTTTTTAATTTATATTAATTTAAATGGAAGAAGAATGTATATTTAATTCCTTTGATACCCCTGAAACGGGGGGGGGGCCCCCCCCGTCGCTGGGGGGGGCCCCCCATACAGTTGGTTTATTGAATTTGTTTGTGG